GAGACACCAACCTTTCCTTGGACACCAACCTTTCCTTGGAGACACCAACCTTTCCTTGGAGACATCAACCTTTCCTTGGAGACCCCAACCTTTCATTGGAGACCCCAACCTTTCCGTGGAGACACCAACCTTTCCTTGGAGACCCCAACCTTTCATTGGAGAACCCAACCTTTCCTGGGAGACACCAACCTTTCCTTGGAGACACCAACCCATTCCTAGGAGACCCCAACCTTTCCTTGGAGACCCCAACCTTTTCCTAGGAGACCCCAACCTTTTCCTTGGAGACACCAACCTTTCTTTGGAGACACCAACCTTTCCTCGGAGACACCAACCTTTCCTTGGAGACCCCAACCTTTCATTGGAGACCCCAACCTTTCCTTGGAGACACCAACCTTTCCTTGGAGACATTTCCTTGGAGACACCAACCTTTCCTTGGATTTTGGATTATAATTTCTTCCAGGGAAAATACTAAAAGGAGGGGACCACATCTCCTCCTTCCAATCCTGGTGGCTTTTCATAAAAAGAAATTTCATGAATAGACATATCATGGATAACAAAATCATAGATAGGACATTTCATAGATGGGACATTTCATAGACAGAACATTTCAGAGAGGACATCTAATAGATAGGACATTTCAGAGATAGGACATTTCAGAGATAGGACATTTCAGAGATAGGACATTTCAGAGATAGGACATTTCATAGACAGGACATTTCAGAGATAGGGTATTTCATAAAAAGGACATTTCATAGATAGGACATTTTATAGAAAAATAAATTCATCGATAGGACACTTCATAGATAGGACATTTCAGAGATAAGACATTTCAGAGATAGGACATTTCAGAGATAGGACATTTTAGAGATAGGATATTTTATAAATAGGACATTTCATAGATAAGACATTTCATTGATAGGACATTTCAGAGATAGATCAGTTTAAAGCAAAAATATGAATAATATGTAAGGTTAAAATCAGAGAGTTCTTGAAAAGAACAGAGTATGATTTATTAAAAAAGATTACTTAGAAGAAAAAAATGCATCTACGAAAAATTTTCTCTGTCTACGAATTGTCCTGTCTATGAAATTTCCTTACTATAAAATGTCCTGTCCATAAAATGTCTTGTCTAAGAAATGTCCTGTCTATGAAATGTCTATCTATGAAATTTCTTTCTATGAAATGACCCAACACCCCAACCCTGACCCTGGGTCTACTGTACTGTTCTTAATATTACCAGATTTTTTTTTTACTTTGTGAAATAATTTAAAATATTGGAAAGTTGTGTGAATAGCGACAAATTGTTTTTTTGTTCCCTGCCATCTGGATTGCATAAGCATTCAATTAACTTTGTAGTTGTATCTGAAGAAATGTAAAATTGGTGGACACCTCACCCCCCCCCCCCCCCCATCAACCCTTTCCAAATAATATACAATATTAGGAATTTATCAAGAAAATTTTAAACTAGAGGAAGATAAAATATATTAAATTTAGACATTGTGTCCAATATAACATGTTTTCCTCGATAAATTTAAAATAAGTTTATTTATTGGATTCATTGGATAGGATGGAAAGAATTATTGAGAGAAGAAAATTGAATTCTCTACATAAAATTAATTGAGTCTTTGCCACAAACTCTGATTTTCTAATCCCTATATCTTTGGAACCCAGTGTCGTAAACCTTTGACATTTCAAACTTATATTTTTGGATCTAACAAAAGTCATAGTTTAAAATGTCAAAGGTTTACGTCGTTAGAATCAACAAATATAGGGATTAGAAGATCAGAGTTTGTGGCAAAGACTCAATTCCTTTATATTTTATTTGCTAGACCGGCAGGGGGCATGTAATAAGGATGCAGGTTGTGCAAACGTTAATTATGTAGTGTCCATTGTGCTTGGTAGCCGAATTTAGATAACAAAGTTTATTTCTAATAATTTATCCAAGTATAAAAACATTGGTATATGAATGAACATACAATACAATTACATACAGGGAGACCTGTAAAACTACTGAGTATGGAGACAGTTATAGGAACCACTGTATGTAAACTGACCTTACTTCTGAATAATTTGGCTTTTAGGGTGCTTGGCGCCCCTTTTTCTGTAGAAATTTTAGCTTTGAATTATTTACAATTACCTAACAGGGAAGTTAGGGGAATTTTACTTTACCAAGGGATCCCAAGACCAATTTTTTCTACAAAACATCCAGAGCGCAGCGAATGTTTTCCTGAAAACTTTGCGGAGCGGGTGGTTATTATACATAACTGTCCCAAGGGACGTTAAGTAACTTAACCTCCCTCTGTTGGGGGAATAATAGGTCGCTAATGTTTGGCAAAAGGCGATAACAAATGTAATGCTCTTCTTGTTGTTATTTTTCATTGTTATTTTCTGAAAAAATAAAAATTCCAGAACTATTTGTTTAAATTGGCGGATTTAACAAAATAATAAACGAAGACATTTGCTTTCGAATAAAATTTGTCACTTACGACGGTCCCTGAAGTTTTCTTGGGGTCAGTTGAGTTGCCACAGAAAAATTGGACTTGATCGGTTCAGCCGTTTTTACAGACTTACAAACAAACAGACACCAAGATAGGCTAAAATACATACTGATAGATAGGAGAATGTTTCAATTCCTTCTATGTTTGTATAATTCCGACTTTTCTCTGCACTGCCATGGGTCCAAATTACTCTAAAAGTTCCCTGAGCTGGGAACTTTTGAATAATGGATATCAGGATTAATGCTTAATCACTCTTAAATAATGCTTGTTCTCCTTTTGTTATTAATCTCCAAAGGATATCCCATTCTAAAGTTTTCAGCTCTAATCAAAGATTTTCTCCGTATCTAATCCATGGTCCCTGAATTGTTTTATTTTCGTCTGTTTTCTTCCAGGCCTTTTCTTTGTTTTTAAACTAATTAGGTCTTGTATGTTCTTTGTTCTTTGTTAACTTTTGGTAATTAAATAATGATTATAAGCCAGAGTAAAGTATTGATGAGGACATTAACAAAATTATGATCTTTGTAAAATTTTGAAAATCAACGGAAAAAAAACAAATTTATATTGTAAAAGACGACATGTTCACAGATAGAGGCATAATTAAAAGTTGAAATAGGAGATGAGAGCATAGTAACTGTTAAGTGGCTAGTTTCTCGAATATAGAGGACTGGAAAACACCTATTCATGCAATGTTTCGATCCACTTACGCGTACTGTAAACGAAAGGAAGTTTTATTAAAGAAAAACGTTCGTATTCATATTGTTTACGAACAGAAAAACGTTCGTATTCATATTGTTAATAAACGAAATTAGATGTAAAATATTATACTTTACATGTACTCAACGTTTGTCACGAAAAATTAACTAATGTCCAACTTGTCAAACAAATGAATGCTATATCACTTTTGGAGAGCTTTTCCCGAAAAATCGTTTATTGCCGAATTTCAATTGTATAACTATGTCGGACATTCAGATAATGTTCGATATCGACGTAGATGTATAGGATACAGTCGGAAATTTCGACATAGTTCGACAGTTTATATGGCGGAGAGAAATGTTTCCTGGGTATTGCTAGGGCTGGGCGTCGTTTCTGGGGAAAGAACGGAATTATGCTGTTGTTCGGGGAAAAAAATAAACCCATTGAACGCGTTCTATAATTCAACAATCATGGAACAAACGGTAATCATGGTTGAAAAAAACAGACTGGAATCGTAAACGTTAAAAATCAGGAACGCGCTTTAAATCAGGAACTTGTTTAAATCTTAAGGAATTGAGCTTTTGCTGTAAATCACAATATTTTCTGAACAAAAGTGAGGATCCGGTTGAAGGATCCGGATTCAGAGACCAGAAGTGAGGATCCAGTTGAAGGATCCGGATTCAGAGACCGGAAGTGAGGATCCGGTTGAAGGATCCGGATTCAGAGACCAGAAGTGAGGATCCGGTTGAAGGATCCTGATTCAGAGACCTGAAGAAGTGGGGATCCGGTTGATGGATCCTGATTCAGAGACCTGGAGAAGTGGGGATCCGGTTGATGGATCCTAATTCAGAGACCTGGAGATGTGGGGATCCGGTTGATGGATCCTGATTCAGAGACCTGAAGAAGTGGGGATCCGGTTGATGGATTCGGATTCAGAGGCCTGGAGAAGTGAGGATCCGGTTGATGAATCCGGATTCAAAGAGCTGGAAAAGTGGTGATCCGGTTGATGGATTTGGATTCGGAGAGTTGGAGAAGTGAGGATCCGGTAAATAATCAAATTTGGATTCTAGAATCTGGATAAAATGCCAATTTCAACAAAAACTTGAAGTTTTGTCAACATCAGTTAAACAAACTTTCAGAGAGAACTTTTCAAACGAAGAAAATAGAAAAAGATAGTTTCCAATAATTGAAAGATTTCAAATTTTTGACATAGTTGAACACTGAACAGTATCGTGTCTACGCGAATATTCAAAATTGAGAAAAAAAGATGCGAACGGTAACTTGTATTAGTATTCTTTTCTTAGATATATCATATATCACGCCATGCCTGGTTGTACTTGACCAATTTTTTGGGAATTTTTCAGAAATTTAAACTAAATATAAAACACGGAGAAAACAATACAAAACTTTACAGAGTGGGTTTCAGTTATCTATATATATAAAGTTGTAATCTCTGTTTGGGTGTCTGTTTGTTTGTCCGATCATAACTGGAAATATTCCGGTTAACAGAATGGAAACCGGAATTATTTTTCTCTTAAAACTTCGGTTCAATTTGATATAGGGATTCCCACGAAGCATGACAGTTAAAAGACGACTTGAACATCGTCTTCGTAATATTTGTAGAATTCAATCGTGTCCAAAATTCCAAAATGTGGCCAGACATTTATTGCATTCAAAATGACCGGAGAAATAAAAACTTCGAACTCAGAATTTGAAAATTTTGATTTGATTTAATTAATTAAAATCAAAACAAAATTTATTATATCAGGTAATATTGAAAGCACAAAAAAAGCAGACCAGATTTTGAAAATGCCAGGACTAAGGAAGTTTTTTATTGAATGCTTTAAGAATAATAGTAAAAGTAGGTTAACAAGTGAATGCCCCGTATTATTTCTATGACCAAAGACGACATCCAAGCTCTTTCTCTTCAATGGCATGTTTCGTGGAACACCCTGTACATCGTCTATGAACATTCATATCCTGCTCCCCCCCCCCCTCTAATCATTGTCACGCTGCTAAAGGAAAACAAAAGTTTAAGGTTTAAAAGTGTATCCCCAGTATAGTAAACAACTTTATTCATCAGATAACTCTTTATAAACTTATTGTTTAATTCATTAGGTTTGGAGTTTTGGAGGCCGATCTATTTATTTAGTATATCTCACTTCTAGCTAACCCATATTTTCCTAACATTCCCGTCAAATTGTATCGTTAAATTACATGAAATACAAAAACTAACCTAAAATGACAAATTTAAAACTAATTTAAAATCAAAATGTTAGTGTCAAATTTAATCTAAATCATGACGGTGATTTTAAAATTCTCCAAATTGAGATTTTAAAGTTTATAAAATTGAAAATTGTACAGCCATGTCTATTGATTTCTTTAAACCGCTTCTAGAGATAAAAGAACAAGGTGAGGACGGACAAGTGTGGAAGTGCCAGGAAAATGATTGACTAACTAACCTTGAGAAAAGTGTAAACAAGATACAGGAGACAGTCACTTCAAATGTGGAAAACTTTGTTAGATAAAGTTGAAAAGTCAGTGAAGCAGAATGAAAAGGTTGAAGAATCAGGAATTGAAGTCTTCAAAAAATAGGATGTAGCTAAATATATGTTTGTTGAGCAAATAGAGCAAAACCTTTAAAAATTGAAATCATCATACTCAACTTAAAAGAGCCAGCCACAAACTAGACTAGTGGGGAGTGCTTGGAGAGATTCGGTGTGTAGTTAATCCTGATGTTGACATCAAGTTGTCTACTAGGATTCAGTGTGTAGCTAATCCTGATGTTGAAATAAAGTTTTCTACCAGGATTCAGTGTGTAGTTAATCCTGATGTTGACATCAAGTTTTCTACCAGGATTCAGTGTGTAGCTAATCCTGATGTTGACATCAAGTTTTCTACCAGGATTCAGTGTGTAGCTAATCCTGATGTTGACATAAAGTTTTCTACCAGGATTCAGTGTGTATCTTATCCTGATGTTGACATCAAGTTTGCTACCAGGATTAAGTGTGTAGCTAATCCTGATGTTGACATCAAGTTTTCTTCCAGAATTCAGTGTGTAGTTAATCCTGATGTTGACATCAAGTATTCTACCAGGATTCAGTGTGTAGTTAATCCTGATGTTGACATCAAGTTTTCTACCAGGATTCAGTGTGTAGCTAATCCTGATGTTGACATCAAGTTGTCTACTAGGATTCAGGGTGTAGCTAATCCTGATGTTGACATCAAGTTGTCTACTAGGATTCAGGGTGTAGTTAATCCTGATGTTGACATCAAGTATTCTACCAGGATTCAGTGTGTATCTAATCCTGATGTTGACATCAAGTTTTCTACCAGGATTCAGGGTGTAGTTAATCCTGATGTTGACATCAAGTATTCTACCAGGATTCAGTGTGTATCTAATCCTGATGTTGACATCAAGTTTTCTACCAGGATTCAGTATGTATCTAATCCTGATGTTGACATCAAGTATTCTCCCAGGATTCAGTGTGTATCTAATCCTGATGTTGACATCAAGTTTTCTACCAGGATTCAGTGTGTAGTTAATCCTGATGTTGACATCAAGTTTTCTAACAGGATTCAGTGTGTATCTAATCCTGATGTTGACATCAAGTTTTCTACCAGTATTGGCAGAGTAAATGGTAAAACAGTTAACCTTGGCTTCAAGTACATGGAGAAGAAAACATTTTTCCTGCAGTTTTGCAATGATCTTTTTGCACAGGTTTTGCAAACACGTGTTTTTTTCATTGACATACAATCTACGATGTCAATATCATTACTCATAAAGAAAGTAAGTAAGTAAGGCTTCTAAAAACTTTTGCAAACTTTTTGCATAATTTTTGCAAAAAAAAATATTTTTTATTTGTAAAAATTTATCATTTGTGAAATAGTCAGGTTAGATGTCACGTGCATGGAATATTTTAATTTGTGTAAAATATTGCAATGTTTCCTCCTTAATTCTGTTTTAGAAATGTACAGTAATTCATATCTATGTGATACGAAACTTTAGTATGAATTTACAGTAACCGCTTATCTCTGCAAAATGGCAAAACGGGTTTGCAAAAATTACAAATTTTTGCAAAACTAAAATTCTAAGGTTGAACCATAATCTTGAGAAAAAAGAAATTGAGTCTTTGCCACAAACTCAAATTTTCTAATGCCAATATCTTTGTGCAACCTGAAGACGTAAACCTTTGATATTTCAAACTTAGATCATCTGATCTAACCAAATCCATAGTTTGAAATATCTAAATATAGCGATTAGAAAATCAGAGTTTCTGGCAAAGATTCAATTCATTTACTTAGTTTTGCTTAAAGACTAATAAAAAGTGACAGAAATGCAAAATATGTAATTATTAGATTTAGATAAATTCATGTTTTTGCTTATTTGTCAAAAAAAATTTGTAAAGCCATTTGTTTTGGACAAATCTTATTTGGCCTACTCAAGAGCTTTCTAAAAGTGTATAATTTGTCATATTTGTTTTAAACACTACGGATTTAGGTAATAAAGATAAAAGCTGTATTTTCATTTCTTTTCTATAAACGTATGGAAAGCATTCTAACTGTGTCGTTTGGAGGATTTAATATGATTTAATATAGTACTTGTAATTGTATAGAAAATACAACAGTTAAACATTTTTCTTTACAACACCCTTGTTAACTTTAAAAGTCACTATAATAAAATAAAGAGATCCAAATGGATATTTCTAACATTTATTTAAAAAACGAAAGTTTTGAAATATTTGCACATAAAGCGGAGTTAAAATTGGTTGATTTAGAAATTAACAAAGGAATTAATGATGGATATTTGATGGCACTTCATGGGAGTGTTGTAGAGCTTCATGTTGGTGGAGCAGATCAACAGGAACTGGGACAACAGGGCTTATCAATGGAACTAAGGCAATGCAACTCGAGATAGCGGAAACTTCGGTCGGAGCAGGGCACAAGTTTCCCAAGTAAGCTTCTCAAGAAGTTAATAGGGAGATCAAAGGTATAAGCATGCCTGCTGTTAGCTCAGTATCTGTATCATCAGCATGAAGGAGTCAAGAGGCTCCCTGTGTCGGAGCTGTTACCAGCCTAACTCTCCTAACCTGACTGAGGGCTGGGGTGTGTAGAGGGTGAGGCGGGGAACAAAGGAGCGAGGGTTACATGTGTGTGCTTCATGGCGGAAATGGATCGTGTGTATACACACATCTTGAAAATAGTTGACGGCAATTGAGTCGGTAAAATCGTCTTCCTTATATTTATGACTAAACCCCTGAATACTTGCTGTCTCCCTGACTAAACCCCTGAATACTTGCTGTCTCCCTTACTAAACCCTTGAATACTTGCTGTCTCCCCGACTAAACCCCTGAATACTTGCTGTCTCCCCGACTAAACCCCTGAATACTTGTTGTCTCCCTGACTAAACCCCTGAATACTTGTTGTCTCTCTGACTAAACCCCTGAATACTTGCTGTCTCCCTGACTAAACCCCTGAAAACGCGCCAAACCAAACCAATGTCCTTTTTCTCCCGAGGACACAGGAAATCTTGATTTCAAAACTTGTATGCTTAAATTTTGTTAAAATTAAAGTATCTGCATTGCTCTTATTTAGACCGAACTTTAACTTTGTCAGTTGGTTTCCTTTCTTGGAAAATAATGAAGTTTCAATCTATAAAGAGAAAGTTTTTCATCTTGGGAGCACTGAATATACTTTATATTTCATTTACTCTCACAAATATTAGAAACAAGGGAAATCTAAACCCCGAGGGATTTAATTCAAAAATCAAGGGTAAAGGTTAATTTCAACATAGAATATTTGCTTCAAATAAATAACATTATATTCGAAAACTTGGTTTTGAATCTTAATGCATAAAAAATCATCAAACCTGGCGAGACTTCCCATTTAAGATTATTGAAAAGGGAAAAATCATCAAGCTATATTAACCAATAATGGGTTAGAGTTCATGTGAAATGAGTTGTAAACCATGGAAAACCATACGAAATTCCATGACAGCTTTTTAATTCAAAATCAAGGAAAGTTTGAAAATAACCAGAGATGAGATTTTTAAAGCTTAAACCCGACTAAAACCCGGTCTTTGCTTCTGCTTAGACCCAAGTAAAGCTCAAGTCAAGACCCGGGTTTTGGATGGCCTTGAGTTTAGTAAGAACCAACCCTCTTGGGTTTCACTCTCTTTACGGCTCGAGTCTTCAGCAACTGATGATTGTAAATTTCGTAAAATATTTCATATTTGTACATTTAAAATCTCGGGAATTATTTGTGGTGTCAAATTTTATTAATTATATAAAATAAACATACTATGAAAATAATGTATCTACATAAAGTTTGAACTTTCAAAATTTACATTTCCGTGTCACAGCTGATCTGATTGCATTAAGTCTGCTACAGAGAGAAAGCTTGCAAAACTGTCTCTCATTGGTTGAATCAGAACCAATCCTTGACTTGGGTTCTATCTAAGCCCGATTTTGGGTTTTTGTCGGGTTTAAGCTTTTAAAATCTCATCTCAGGATTCAATAAACAAATTTGAATTCTGGAAAACCAGCTTATAAGGTACTGTTGATGTATAGGCACCCTCCAAATATAGAGTGGAATGTCTGATTTAGGATTTAGGATTAAGATTTACACAGGAGAAGAAGTTTAAGATTTTGTCAAAATATTTGATAAAATATTATCCTGGACGGTATGTCAAAGTAAAACGTCTTTGCTATCAGCTGTCCATATCTCCTAGCAATGGACTTTTGACTCCGATAAATTTTTGTTTTCAGGTGAAAATATCTGATGAGGTGTCATAGATTAACAACAATACAGAAAGAGCATCAGATGTTGTCTTTTCAAGATTTAGGAGTTTTTCGTTCACAATAACCCTGAGGCAGAAGCCCAATTGAGTTACTTGCATGCTCTCTCCTTCTCTGTTTTGTAATTCAACGCGGCATGCGTGTAACTCCTTTGGGCTTCTGCCTCAGGGTAATTTTGAACGAAAAGCCCCTGAATCATTAGAAGACAACATCTAGTGTTCTATCTGAATCTTTGGACGGGATGAATGAAATTTTCTATTGTTAGTGTTTAATGAAACTGCAGGATTAAATCAAACTCGTTTATTGATGCTTCTTCTAAACAGGATCTGTTGACGTTAATACATTCAACCATTAAACATAAACCATTCAGGCTAGAACTTAAATAATAATAATAATTAAACACTTTTAGGATTTGTATGATAAAATGTAAATATCTTGAAGTAAGTGTAAGGATTAGAGATATTCTATAGATTACAATTACAGACATAAATCTTAGGGATTTTCGAGATCAATCATTTTCCCCCTCTGTTTAGGGCGTGTACAAATGTCTTTCTCTAGGTCCTCGTACTTTGTTTCATAAACCCCATTAATGTTCTCGTCTATATGTATATAAATCTCTCTCAGAGAATGAATAAATGTGATTTATCAGCTTATTAGCTTATTCGTTTAAATACATCTGTTAAGGGTTCTTAAATCAGTTTCTTATGTGTTTGTAGAAGACCAAACTTCAGCTAGATGCAGTACGTTAGTCCTCTGTCCATCTTTAAGGTCCTTGAGCTATATGCAGTATGTTAGTCCTCTGTCCATCTTTAAGGTCCTTGAGCTTGATGCAGTACGTTAGTCCTCTGTCCATCTATAAGTTCCTTGAGCTAGATGCAGTATGTTGGTCCTCTGTCCATCTATAAGGTCCTTGAGCTAGATGCAGTACGTTAGTCCTCTGTCCATCTATAAGTTCCTTGAGCTAGATGCAGTATGTTAGTCCTCTGTCCATCTAAAAGGTCCTTGAGCTAGATGCAGTATGTTAGTCCTCTGTCCATCTATAAGGTCCTTGAGCTAGATGCAGTATGTTAGTCCTCTGTCCATCTATAAGGTCCTTGAGCTAGATGCAGTATGTTAGTCCTTTGTCCATCTAAAAGGTCCTTGAGTATATTTAGCTCCTCCAATGCTCCAGCCAATCCAGTCCATGGTTTAAAGAAGTCCAGAGGAAGTAAGACAAACCAGAGAAATTCATAAGTTCTGAACTGCTCCTCAAGTGTTGCAATTCTCTGTCTAGTCTTGATATACTTCCAATATGCAATCCTCAAATCCTCTCTTTCAGGGAATCCTTTAATTAACTGTTCCAGTTCAGTGTCTCTCTGAACAGCTTCCCGGAATCCATATCTCTCATTTAGCTGCTAGATGCTCCCAACCAGGATGTCCCTGAACAGCTTCCTCAGCTTCGTCCATCTCATCTAACTGTACCGGTTCAGGATCTCTAAACTTGAATACACCGTTCAGCAGTTCAGGAGTAGGATCCCCCTGAGCAGCTTCCTCAGATTCAAATAAGTCTTCTAGTTCAATATCTCTGGACTAGGAGTCCTAGGATTGGAGGATTTAGATGAGGATACATCATATATACAATCTCTAAACTCAAATGTTTCGATCAACAGTTCAGGAGTAGGATTGCCCTAAGTCCTCTAGTTCTATATCTCTGGACAAGGAGTCCTAGGATTGGAGGATTCAAAGGAGGATACATCATATATATAATTTCTAAACTCAAATGTTTCGTTCAGCAGATCAGTCCTAGGATTGGAGGATTCATATGAGGATATATCATCCTTTAACCAAGGCATCAGTTCTTCAACTTTAGCTTGTAGTTCATCAACAACATCTTCTATATCTTCTGCTGTTTCATAAATTGCTTCCTCAGTTTTCCTAGCTGCACCTGGACTTAAAGGATATTCTGGAGTCGGAGATCCTGTGACCCAAAACCTCCTGGTTTCTCAATCATTTATGGAGGACGATAGATCCCGTTCTCATAGATCCTCGAGATTTCCTCCTCTCCTGGAGTCATTGGTCTATACTGATATTCTAGCTTCTCCTTGCCACAAGAAAGAATCCTCTGCATAGTATAGAGCAGTTCCTGGTGTACTGGCGAGCCAATTGGGGGGGTCGTCGATGGAACATCTCTGAACGTAGTATTTTTGTACTAAAAATGGCGGGGGGGGGTCGTCGATCGAACAATTTTCTCTAAAATGCCGTTTTAATCTTCAAGATGAACTCAAACTGTCCTTGGTCCCTTTTCCTAAGATTTTCAAACAAAAATTTAACCTCAGTGTGTTATTTCTTTTAAAAACTCTGCAATTCTGTCACTAGAAAAGGTCAATTTTTCCATTCTGTTGTATGAAACACAAAATAAAATTATCTTTGAATTTTTTTGCAAACCTTTGGAATAAGATCTTAAGCCCATTTTCGAATATTTTTGAAGGTTTTATATTTTGGAGACATATGGACACTTCATTCTTTTTTGTAATTTTTGATGTATTTTTAATTCGTGGTATAGCCAACACGTGGGGTAACGTTCAAACTCGTAATCTATAGTTTTTTTCTTCGAACACGGTATTCATATATAGGGTGGAGGATCAGTGGCGGCCATAAGGGGGGTTATTGGGGTTATTTACCCCCCCCCCTAGAATCCTGGGGGTAAATACCCCCCCCCCACTATCCTGGGGTAAATACCCCTCACCCCTGAACATATATTCAGGCCCTGAATAGCTGGGGTTACTCCATTTGCTGCCTCTACAAGTAACAGTTCCAGTTGCCTTGACCCCTTCCCTTCAAAAAACAAAAAAAATACATTCCCTATTGATTAGTCTGCACTTGTGTAAAGACGACTATTTTCATGATAGTAAAAGTTTTTGCGGCATTTTGCAGATGCCTAAACTTTTACTTCGGTTACTTCAGTAAAGTCACTAAAGTTCACTCACACACAACTGGTTATAATAAAAAATATATATATAATTATTAGATTAAATGATTGTTATACAGTTAAATCCAGAACTTTGGAGTCATTAAAAGAATTTATAAAAATGTCGTCTTCTAAACCTGCTGATAATGGAATGCTGCAGATATTTTGTTTTTTAATTGAATAAGTATATGGAGCTAATTAAACTTGTTTCCGCACATTATTTTTATTTTTAATATTGAGATTTGGGTATATATATGATAATATATAGCTATAACCCATTGAAGAATAGTAAGGACGACATTTTATAAATTCTTTTAGATTGGTTGCGTATTTGCTGAATATGATTTCAAAGAGCTTTGTAATATATTCTACCGTCTTTGTATGAACTGCTTAAACCTACCATTTATATACAAAATTGTATATAAGGTTGTCCCAGGAAACATGACAGTTGCTGAATATTTTAAAATATCTTCTTCCATAATTTGTTAATTGTTGTTTGATACCAAAGAGAATAATAATAAATATTATATGGCAGTTTTATTATAGTAAAATTGATCCCAGTTTAGGATATATTGCAGTAACAGATTTTTCTACCGAACTAAACTGCAAAAAGTCTTTAAATCTAATCCAATATTTGGAAGATGACATTCTAAACTATTCATCAACTGTCATGTTTCGTGGGACACCCTGTAAATGAATTGAAGAGCTAAAGTGATAAGGTTTCAGCCTATACCCCCTTTAATTTTTCCTTCACAGTCCCTTCAAGGAAATTCCTTATATTAATCCTACCCTCCACGTCCTGAAACTACAGGGTGTCCCGTGCGAAACATTACAGTTAGTTAAGAGTTTAAAGGTAGATATTCAAAACTATTCATCGACTGTCATGTTTCGTGGGACTCCTGTAGGTGTAGGTTCAATCAAGACGACATTTGGCAACAACCTGAAATATGTTTTTCATTTGTTTAAAAAAGCCCTCTACTATACACTGCAGAGTGCAGACAAACATGTGTTTCTGTTTAAACTCTCACTTTCTTGCCAATTTAAATTGAGTTGAGGCCTAATAACGGTGTTGGGATATATCCAGGACATTCGATAAATCGATCCCCACATGTGAAATGCATTTCATAGATATTGTTTTTTTATAGTAATTGGGCATTTCAGAAATCGAACATTTATTAAATAAGACAAACATAGATAAGACAATTATAGACAGAGAAAAAATCAGTTTTCTTTTCTTATATCGTACAACTAATAGTGAATAATATACAAAAAAATGATAATTCTGGAAAAATTCAAGTTTTCTGGTTCTCACTTAAGTCACTTTGCCAAAAAAAAATGGAAAAATGAAATCATCTTTATATTTGCTTAAACTTTTTATAAAAAAAGGTGTAGCTTAAGCCAATTTTTAATTGTTTTGTTTTCAAAATGTAAAATTACAAAATAGAGCCTTCAAATACTATAAAATTGCGTTTTAATAAAACAATTATTACCCAAATTGTTTTAATTTTTGTATTTCATTTTTTTTAGATAGAAATTATGAAGATTCAATTGAATAAAATCTGAAGAAAATTGAATATTAGTGTCTGAAGAAAATTAAATATTCTCGCAACCTCGAAGTGCTAAATTTTTCCGTTAGCAATTCTTAGTTGGTCTATACTGATATTCTAGCTTCTCCTTGCCACNGATTATATTGCTGGGGATATTTAAAAGTGTTGGATGTGGGGGGGGGGGATAGCCTGCCGTACTTATATATATAGGGTTATCCGAAAAGCATTAGACTTTCATGTCGGTCATCATATGTCGGTCATCATATGTCGGTCATCATATGCAGATTATCTTCAAATTACGAATATGTACATTGTACATATGTACATTGTACATATGTAGCATGCATGAGTCGAAACTCACGTATAGAAATCTCAATTTCTCCTTTAAACTAAAAAACATGAAAATCCTTGTATTTTCCCTTGATCCACACATTTCTTTGCGCAATCCCCTCCACCCCCCCCTAATCCTAATCCTAGAATCCCCTTGCTAGAGTTGTTTTGCT